GACCTAGTGCAACAGGCATGGAACTCCATCTCGTAAACTGACACCTGTGTGGCACAATGCATACATGTTTGCATGCGTGCATTCAAAATTTTGTCAGTTACACCAGTTATTAATGTACCAGTATTTCACATCTGAAATGGCACTTCTGGTACTTGCATATTAACCTATGATTTTGAAAAATTAATTGATTAAACATTTGACCTAAAAAATGTATTGCCAACATTTCATTACTCTACAAATTTTTTTCTTGGTGTTGGGATTTTTTTTTTAACATTTTATGACAATATATATATAAAAAAATTATTTTGAAGTTTTTTTATCTCTTACCCCAGCTGGATGTTATAATATTATTTTTCTCTCCTCCATAAAATAAAATATTCTTGTCAGTGTACCCACTTAGCTATGTTTTTTTACTGTATACAGATTTATGAAAAAAAATTGTGTTATTAATGAATATATACATATCCAATAAAAAGATTAGTTTCAAAGAGAAAAAGCTCGCACGAAAAATATTTTCAAATAATCATGTCGTAAGTCTTCATTAAGTTTTAAATGATCTTTATTCATTTGTAGTTCAAGAGAAAAAGCTCAGTACGAATAAATTATTTTGGTACTTTTCCGTTTCGCCAGTGCATATCTCGCCAAGTAGACTTAATTAGCGACACAAAAAATATTTTAAAATGTTATATATGAGTTTTTTTTATTTTGAAGGCATAAACATTTTAATATCATTTAAAATTTTCTAAAAAGCCAATAAATAAAGACAAGAAATTTATAAAAAGACATTAATTTAAGAATTTGCTATCATGGTTCAATATCCTGATTCGCCAGTTCGTATCACGTGAGTCCAAGTGATCTCATCTACTACAAACTACGCTACAAAAATATAATTCTTTCAGTAATTATCTACATTAATTACAAGTTAATTTGGAATATAAGTTTAAATGCAAGAATTATATCAATTCGTACGAATAGCCTACTCAGAAATTATGGAAAGCCGAAGTGCTTTACTTCGCTAATGCATTCTCATTAGAATGGATGAACTTAACCCTTGATTTTGTCTTTTCTATATTTTCGCCTTCGGGTGAGCGGTGTGATTGCATCCAATTTGACTTAATTACCGCGAATGGTCTTAGGTCATAAAATTGAACTGTCTAGTAAAAATTCTATGTAATTGTATGCCAGCATTCAAAGAAACAATCAATCTGGTAAGAAATGGCTGCGACTTGTTTTGAAAATGAGGCATAAAAGGTTACTATCAAGGATATTTCGTTTGGTATCAGTTGTAGCATTATTGGCGACTTTATCGCCTGCGCCGGCAAAACAGAAAAGTACCATTATTTTCTAATAAATCGTGTTGTAAGTCTTCATTAAAGTTTTAAATGATCTTCATTCATTTGAAATTTCTCTTACATGTTATAAACTTTCTATGATAACTAATGAATCATGTGCCGGAAAACTGTAAATTATCTTCAGCAGAGTTGAATAAACTCGTAATATGAGCAGAAACTTTGGGAAGGGTCTGTTATTAAACATTCAAACACTTTTAACTTGAACAAAAAGACTAACATGTGTCTGAAAGTAAAACTAGAAAAAAGTATGTTATTCAGTGGGCTGAAAAGAGTGTCCTTAAGATTCATTTCTGCGAACTTGTATTTTAAGTTAAAACTATTTCAGAAAATTTGATAATAGAAACACTATTTTTCTTATAAATTCTGGGAGCATATTCTGAAAAGAAAATATGTTTCCAGAATTAAATTCAGCTAGGAAGTTTTAATCATGTTAAATAAAAATATACACTTTAAATTGAGAAATAAAAGATTATTTTGTACAAAGTGTTTGAAAGTTATGCAAAAGTAACTATCTGTAAACAAAATTAGTTTTAGCCTATAATTCTTCAGATAAACACTATGAAATTTTGTGAACATTACTATTATATAAACGGTTAAAATCAGTATAAATAGAATTATTAACTAAATACTGACTATTAAATCTAAATTTATTTATCTAAATTCTTTTGTGCATAAATTATGTTCTAAGTATCAATGTGATTATTATCAAGAAATTTTAATTTGCTTTTTTATTTGTTTGTTGCTGGCAGAATAAACATTAAAACAATACTTCTTCCATGTCTGCATACACAGGAATCCTCAGCTTAAATTCTAGTGAAATGCTATGTTAAATTAAATAGTGGTAATTGAATATACAAATTCATATCTACTGTAATTCATCCAAACTTTTTTCAACTTTTTTATATAGCTCGTTTTAACTGTTTTCACAGTCAGTTTGTTTATTTAGATTATGGCAAAGCATACTGGGAATAATGCCTAAGGAAGGGATTTCTAGGAGAACCTGGCTCAAGTTTATGTTACACATGGGAAAAAAGCATGAAAATGCCCATGCAACTAGCCCATTCATTAGAATTATCCATGTGGTCTTACCACACAACCATTTGTGGACAACTACCTATACACGTCAGACTAAAGTGAATAAAAAACGGTCGTAATTTATGTTATTTTTTGTACAGTAGACATACGAACTATACTAATTTAGGTGGAATATCCTGATTTTTGACCACATTTCCACTGACCTGAATTACAAGATATTTCTTTTGACTTGATCTCATTCATTATATGTCTCAAGATGTTTATTAGTTCAGCTTAGTATTCTGTTACTGTTACTCTGCAACACAATGAAATTTTCGCTTTTTCTTTGGATTACCCATTTATTTAAAAAAGGGGGGAAAATATTATTCAACTGCTACCACCATGTGTGTAGGAAAAATGTCATGGTCTAAATCTCTAATAGGCATCAAGTGCACTGTAAGTCATTTGTTACACGTTAGCCTATGAATGCAAAGCAAGATTGAAACATTTCACTGTATTTCTGGTGTAGCTAAATGGTATGATTTCACATGCTTGGTGAAGTTGTTTAAAGGATTTGGGATCTTTTGTCTTAATTATGTCTGTGAAAAAAGTACTGTTAAAAAAATATACACAGATGACTTTTCTTACATTATTTCATCCACAAATGTACAATGTGTACCGCTTGTCATTGCAATTTTTCAATTTTGCGTGGTGGTAGGGCTGATGTACAGAAAACGCAGACAACCTAGAATTGAATTTTTCCCATGGAAGCAAAGGGATCATAAAGTTATTTATGCTTTTATGCCTACTTTCTGCCTTCAGTCGTTGATTGCATTAAAATAGCTCTTTCCTGCCTTTCTATATATCATTGTAAAATTGGATCCAACTACATATACATGTCAAGTTAAAATGAATAAAAAACTGCTTATAATTTGTGTTATTTACGTGTTCCTGATATTCTGATTTTTGACCACATTTTCACCGACTTGTATCACAAAATATTTCTTTTGACCTGTTCTCATTCTTAAAATTTCTCAGGATGTTCATTTTTTTACTGCTTTAAAAAAAAAAAAAAAAAAAAAAAGAATTCAGTACTTTTTGTTTTGACTTTAAAAGGAGATTCAACAAGCCTTAATATAGTGCAGTTAATTATAAAAATTTTGAAAGAAAATGGAGTTGATGTAGATAATTGTTTAGCGTTTAGTGTGGGCAGTGCACTGGTAATGGTTGGCATGTAGACTGGTGTTGCAGATATATTGAAAAAAGAAAACTCACATTTACAGATTATGTACCTTTTAAATTTAGCAGCTGAAAAGGGTATAGCTCCTTTAACAAACAAATATACAGGAGTTTTTTTTAATTCTATTGAAAAGAGTTCTAAAAGAAAAGGGGGAAAATGAAACAATTCCAACACCTGCATAATATTGAAATTTAAAAAAAAAAATTTGAAATGTACATGCTGGCTATTATCCTTAGAGAAATGTTTATCTGGAATCCTTGATAAGTGGAAAATAATATTTTTTAAGGAAGAAGTAAATGATTCTAGAATTTTCTTTGTTTAAAGTTATCAAATATCTAAAATAAAGGAAAATGTGGCTATTGCTTTCATTGCTAATAAACATAAGAAAAGGAAGTAGCTTCCTCAGTAGTGAGCGTTTGATAATTCTCAGAAAAATACATAAAAAAATAAGCAGAAAGTTGATAAAAGTGTCTGTCAATGCCCCCCCCCATCAACAAGGGAAACATTAGCTACTTACTGCCAATTTACCTAATGAAGAAGAAGAATTTATGTATTTGTGTTTGAACTTCAAAAAAGCTTTTAGCTTTCTTTTGTAATCTTCATTTTATAGTTATGTAATATTTTAACATAGTTCTGCAGCAAAGTATTAATTTTATTAAAAAGAATTTTCAGATAAGAGCAAGAAATTTTACTTGCATGTAACAAGTTCTGCCAAGTATAAGACTACGTATTATGCAAAATTCTAATTAACAGTAAATGTCAATTTGCATGCTATAGTTGCAGATGTTTCTATTCCAGTAACTGCATCATTTTCTGATGCAAAATAGTTTTTTAATTTCCAGTTTACATTGCATAGTTTTCAAAGACATTATGTTATCCCTGATAAAATGCAGTCATAGTTTTGCAATTTACTATTACAAAACTGGCATAGTTATAGAACCAGTGAGAATTGAAACTAAGTGGTATCTAATCAGATGACTGAAAAGTATTAATGGAATTTAAAAGTATAGTTAAGTCTCTAGAATAATGTTGGCTGTCATGAAGTTGACCATAGCGATGCAGAATGTAAAAGATTTTCAATATGGTTATTAAAACAAGGACTGAATTTATATCCTATGTGAATGATGATACATTGGAAAAACTTTTATTAGCAAAAACAAGCCTTCATGCCAATTTCTGTGAGCTGAGCTATGATGCTTCTTTCCTAAAGAAGATAAAATCTGCTATTATAATTTATAATTGCATAAAGATAGGCTTAATTATTATTTTTTATGAAATGTTTGAAAGAATAAAATTTTTATATATATGAATATTCTTATGCTAATTGCATTTAAAATTAAGTAATTGCACTGTCAGATATTAAGTGCAATGAACTTCAATGTTTTTTTTTCCAGATTTGGATCCAAATCCATATTTTGTGTTTTCAACTTTTCATCAGTAAGAGTTCAGCTAAACTTCAGTCATTTTCTGCTACTGCTCCAACCTCATTTTGCTTCCGTAAGGATTTTCTTCATCAGTAAACTCATCATTGTCAAATACATATGCTAGTTCTTCCCTGGATCATTTCTATGGAAATGCATTTGGATCTCTGTGATAGTAACTCTTTCTACATGCTGTGTATACTTTGTTTGATGAAGATATGAAAGCAGTTCTTTCAGACAGAGTTCACGTCAGAAAATACATGTAGTTCAGTTGTAAATGTACCTTAATAAAAAAGTGTTTACATCTTTAACTGAGATTCATCCTGTATTAAGTAAAAACAGATTGTAATTCAAATTGGCCAAAAAAATAGCTTTATATTTGTGTAGATTTTGAATAAAAATATTGACTGTGAGTGCAGGCTGATTTAGGAATGTTTCAACAAATTTGCTTTGCTTCTGAAGGAGCAGATCATATGTTGGTTTGCCATTGAAATCCCTAGAGTTTTATTAAAAATCTATTTAAATCTATATCTGTTTTTTTTGGGGGGGGGAGGAGAGGGACAAAATGTTAGTTTTTTTCATTGCTATGTCTCCCTTTCAATTGGTGGTAGCAGTTGTGTTAAATAAAGAATGTGCTAATTGAAATCATGGTGAAATTAATCATAATTAGAGAAAAAATCTTTATGCTGCACAATTTTAGCAAAAAGCATTGAGAGTAAAAATTAACTAAAGCTATCACAACATTCCTGATCATGTCACACTAAAAACAAAATCACAGAGCAAAATAAATATAAATATTTTAAATATTCCAAGATAAAGAAATTTTCAACGTAATTTTTAAGTACTATGTATAATTGTAATACATATAATTATGTATTTAATTCTGATTTCCCCTCAAGGCAGACTGGTCAAAACTGTAATTCAACACATTGTTGAATTACAGTTTTGACCAGTCTAATTCCCCTTGTGAAAATGTGAAAAAATTATTTTCCCCTTGTGTAACAAGAATACAAGCCAATTTCCCTAAAATGTTCCATAAAGGCTTTCTCTACTCTTAAGCAGGTAACCCTTGCATGCTTTGCCACACCCAAATCTAGTCAAACAAACAACCGTAGAGATGAAGTTCTTGCTATTTCATGAATATTTGAATGTCAGACTAATGTACTCTAATTTTTACTTTGTATCTTTCAAATATTGGAGAGTCATTCTCCCCCCCTCCATATTCTTTTATTCAGCATTAGAAGGAAAAATTGAAACAAACATCTACGGTTATACCATCAAATGCATAGTGTACAAAAGAGCCTTATGAATATAGAGTTTCATTATTCTAATGTATTTAAATTTATTTAAAATTTCATCAAACACCAATTAGAAAAATTGTACTTTTAGAAACTTATTGCTTTTACAGCAAGAATAATTCAGATATTTTAACCATTTTAACTGTAGAAGATTACATACATATATAAAAATTAATATTTAAAAGTACATGTACTATACATACAAGTATTTAAAACATTAAATCATGAGGCTTTACATTTCTAAAATCTGTATTTATTTATGTACTATTTTTAAATCGTTTATGCTTTCAACTGCCTTTGAATATGGATTCATTTTTCTTGGACATGCATGCAGGACAATGCTGTAGCTAGGTTGGGGCGAGGGAGGACATCTGTCCCCAGGCATAGCATCCAGGGGTGCCACATTGATATTAAGAAATTTTAGAATGAAATATCTTCCGTTCTTGGTGTACAGAAGGGGACGCAAAATCTTTAGTTGTCCCTGGGTACTGTAAAGCCTAGCGATGCAGGAGAATGTCTCTTTAGAGCAAAAGTCTTTAAAATATGTTATTATTATAAAATTTTTGATATTCCATCGCAAATCGTTATATAGTGATTTAAGAATTTTGGGGGGGAGGAGGTCTAAATTTGATTTAAATTGTACATGAGATTTGCATCTTCTGAAACACACACTTCTAACAGTAGAAATCAGAATTGTTCTTTATATGTACCTTAGAAAGTTTCTTAAAAGGATAAAAGTTGCAAATATTGCAATTGAACTCAGAGGAAGCAGCAGCTTATTCAGGGTTCGTAGCGGGGCATACAAGTGCTTAGAAGTCCTTATATTTAAAAATAAAATATAAAGGACCTTATAGGTGCTTTTTCTTTAAAGGCCTTGTTTTTAGTGCTTATTCTTTGCTTTTAGTGCTTTATTTTTTTAATGAACGCACATTTTTTCCCCGTACCAAAGCCGAAACTAAACGAACAATTTTTCTTCCTTATATGTATCGTCGGATGATGAATCATACACCCGGAAATAGCTTTTCCCTCTTTCTCTGCATTACCGTAACCTTTGGTGCGCGCAGACAGGTGCACGTCGTTCTATTGGTCAAAGAATTGCGAAAGCGGTTGAAAATTCCGTGCAGTAATATACACTGGTGTGCCAAAATTAAGGACGAGACGGTTTTTTCAATATAACTTTGTACAAAAGCTTTCCAAATCAACACATTTAATACCGTAAGATCCCCAATATGTAAGGACATGAGTAATGTAAGCAACGCTTACTAAAAGAGAAATGAGAGGGATAAAAAGAAGCTTTATTGAAAAAGTAGCATGGAGCATAATGCGACTGAAGGCCGAAACATCCCTGTGATGGGTGTCGAGCAAGAAAATCCGGTCTTTAATAGGGATATGATCTCCCCTGACTGCTAGGCAGGTTTCACAGCGTCTGCCCATGCTGAGAATGAGGGTGTCAATGAGTTGTTGAGGCATGCTGCCCATTCGTCTTGCAGCGCCAATCGAAGCTCCGGAATCGTTACTGGTGGGTAAGGTACGAGCTGCCAAGCATCTGCCTAGAAGAAATCCCATACATGCTCGATGGGATTGAGATCCGGAGATCGTGCCGGCCAATCCATACGTTCAATATCCTCACTCTCTAAGAGCTGTTCGGCAGCTACTGTGCGATGATGACATGGTGCATTGTCGTCCATGAAAAGGAACTGCGGACCCATAGCACCTCTAAAAAGACGCACATATGGAAGAAGAATCTCGTTACAATAACGGGTCCGTTGAACTGAACCTGCGTCGAAGATGTGAAGGTCTGTACGACTACCAAGCATGATGCCTCCCCCAAACGAGAACACCGCCACCTCCATACCTGTCCTTTCAATGATGTTCGAGGGATGATTGCGGCTTCCCCGCTCTCTCCAGATGAGTATGCGATGAGAATCGCTTACTCAGACTGAATCTGCTCTCATCTGTAAAGAGTACTCGTCCCCATTCATTGTCTCTCCAATTCCGGTGTTCCCGGACCACCACAGAGAACGGCCTTCTCCGATGGGCAGGCGTTAGAGGTACACACCGTACAGGGCATCGTGCAAACAGACCACCACCATGCAGACTTCTGGCCACGATAAAACGCGATATCGGTCGTCCAGTCGCCTGTGTCGTGTGTCTAGCGATTTCTCCCGCTGTCTTACGTCTGTTTCTTCTGGCCTGTAAGGCAATATACCGGTCATCTGCGGGTGTGGTTCTCGTGGACGACCACTACTAAACCCCCGGATAGCTGTTCCTGCAGTTTGAAATTGTCTCCAAAGTCGTGAAACGATGCTGTGAGCAATTCCAAACTCTGCAGCCACACTTGTCACACTGCGGCCTTCCTCCAACTTCCCAATGATTCGACCTCGGGTTAAAAGCATCCAGATGTCGTCTAACAGATTGATTATTCGCCATTTCTCGCTGAGGCAGCAACTCGGTGTGATTTTAACTGCTATACGGCGTGCAATCTCTTTGCCAGAAATACTGATCTTACACCGACAACATGCTTGATACTACTCATACACTCCCCCATTATGTCTACCTGCATATCTGCGCATGTGCTACCGTACATCACCTTACTTAATCTCCTGATTGGTCTTTCTGTCCGCTCTGCCTCTTCGTTCAGCTGATATGCTAATTTTTCGACTTCGTCCTTAATTTTTGCACACCAGTGTATATCAGTTGAAAAAAGTTATAAAAAAATCATTAATTCATACAAATTTTCAAATTTTAATGTTTACAGATTAATTGGATTTCCAGTTATTAAAAAAAATCGAAATAAATTTTGTGGAAAATTTAGAAAAATTGTTTCATTGATGTGTGTAATGATTTAACTAATACTTAAAAAATGAAATAATGCAGTTAAACTCCAGTAGTTATTTATTTTAATGTCTTGTATAAAGTTTTCAGTTTAAATTTAGGCTGTGATGACTATGATGATTAAAAATATAAAATCATTGGAAGAGGGGACGAAGTTTAATTTTGCGATCTGAAGTCCAATATGTGGATGGTTTTGAAGATAAATTCAACCTCATTTTTGATAAGACATGTAAATGATAAAACATAAAATATTGGATGATTAATTTTGGCTAAGCACTCTTAAAAAAGGCCACTCAAAACGAAGCAATTCTATGAAAAAAAAGTATTATTAGAAATATATTTTTAAAGGTTAAAATTGATTTTTTAAAAATTTATGGTAGTTATGTGTGTTACTTTGTTATATTCATTATTTGGAAGAATCCCAAATATTGGTAATTGTGTTATACCTCTTCAATGTCAGATTTATTACGTATATATTTTTAAGAGAACATTTAATTATACTTTAATGGAACTTAGAAACTAAACACAAGACAAGAACTTTTCAGTGTCCAGGGATTTAAAAATGTGGCTGATGGCAATTCTGTAGTGGAGAATGCTCTATCACAACTGCTTTTCATTCTTCAAGTTGGAGATAATTTATTATTTTATTGCTTTCCTTAGTAAGAAGGAGTATTGTTGGATTACTGGCAATTTGCAGTCACTAAATATGCCTAAAATGGGATTTTTCAAATGATGTATGGTATTTCATTTTTAACCTTCCAGCCCCCGCGCACGCGCAAAATTTACAACAAATTCAGTTTTCAAAGCACATTTTTCGCACATCGAAGCTGAGACATCTGAAAGTCATTTCTATTCCTCCTTTCTACCCTTCCCCACATCATGGAATGTGCCAACAGGAAGTCATGTGACTTTTTTTTTTTTTTAACTGGGCTCTTGTGCTACGTGGCAGCTTTTTCGTAAAATTTACGACACATGCATTGTCATGTTTTAAAATTCTGGAAATATTTTGTCATTTTGTGTTATTAATTGCAGTATATTATTTAAATTTAGTAATTTTATAGCGGTTTTCGTGGGGAAAAAATATGTGCAACCAGCTGATTTTGCTCGGATTCTTTAAGAATTATCTGATGAAGAAAAGGAAGACAAGGAAACCTCTGGATGGGAGGAGAACAATAGCAATTTCCATTCCTTATTTTCTTTTATTTCTGTTTTTTAGAAATAAATAAAAAACATTAAGTTAGTGTAAAAGTGCGTTTTGTAACAAGAAGAAGAAATTCTTT